TGGCCCGAGTTGGTCTCCAACTCCTTTTGCTTTGTTCTGGCGTTCGGCCGTGGGCGGAGCGAGCGGGGGAGCGAAAGAGAGAGTCGCGCGGCCCGCTTCCTCGACGGCCTCACGCAGGCGCGTCCCGCGACGCTGGCCGCGCTGCCACCGCTGCCGTTCGCTTCCTTCGTCTGTTCGAGCAGCGCCTGTCAGCCGTGATCCTTCGGTGGGCTGACTGTGGTTCTGCTGTGCTCACCGCATTGGGTTGACTGCTCGCTGCACTCGTATGTGCTGGCCGTCACGTTCCAGGAGCTCGGCATCGCCAGCAGTGTCGTATCCCTCCCCCTCCCTCCCTCCTCCTCTCCCTCCTCCTCCTCCTCCTCCTCTTCCTCCTCCTCCTCCTCTAACTCCTCCTCCTTCTCCTCCTCCTCCTCCTCCATCTCCTCCTCCTCCCCCTCCTCCCCCTCTCCCCCTCCTCCTCCTCCTCTCTCACTCCTCCTCTCCTCCTCCCTCCTCCTCCTCCTCCCTCTCCTTCCTCCTCCTCCTCACTCCTCCTCCTCCTCCTCCTCCTCCTCCTCCTCCTCCTCATCCCTCCTCCTTCTCCCCTCCCCCCCTCTCCCCCTCCTCCCCTCCTCCTCCTCCTCCTCCTCCTCCTCCTCCTCCTCCTCCCTCCTCCTCGTCTCCTCATCCTCCCCCTCCCCTCCTCCCCCGTCCTCCCCCTCCTGCTCCTCCAGGGCGCGGGGGGCGCAGCAGAACCTTCGCAGGCCGCGGTGTGGCTCGCGCTGCCCCCGAGGTGCTGGGCATGCCCTTCCTCCGCGCCTACTACACGGTCTTCGACGCCGAGGGCCAGAGGCCGAGCCCGGCTTGGCCGGCTCAGGAGGAGGAGGAGGAGGAGGAGGAGGAGGAGGAGGAGGAGGAGGAGGAGGAGAGGAGGAGAGGAGGAGGAGGAGGAGGGGAGAGGAGGAGGAGGAGGAGGAGGAGGAGGGGAAGGAGGAGGAGGAGGAGGAGGAGGAAGGGGAGGAGGAGGAGGAGGAGGGGGAGGAGGAGGAGGAGGAGGAGGAGGGGAGGAGCATGAGGAGAGGGGGGGAGGAGGAGGCGGAGGAGTAGGAGGAGGAGGAGGGAGGAGGAGGAGAGAGAGGAGGAGGAGGAGGAGGAGGAGGAGAGAGGAGTGGAGGAGGATGGGGGAGAAGGAGGAGGAGGAGAGGAGGGGAGGAGAGGAGGAGGAGGAGGAGGAGGAGGAGGAGGAGGAGGAGGGAGGAGAGAAGGGGGAGGAGGAGGAGGAGGAGGAGGAGGACGTGCCCTTCTGCGTCCTGGCCGTCGCCCTCTCCACCAGGGTGGGCTTCGCGCCGCCCCAGCAGCCGGCCCACGGCGGCGCGCGGCGGGCCGCGCCGTCTGGCTCCCGCGCCGCCCCCCGCACCGTCGGCCTCCGCGGGGTGCGCCCGGGCGAGGCCGAGGCGGCGCCGAGCGCCGGGGGGCCGTGAGAGCACGCCGAGGCCTCGCGGCAGTACTCGGGCCGGGCGAAAGGGGGGGATTGGGAAAGGGGGGGTTACGAAATTTGCTGCATGCAGCTGGTTTCGGCCCCACCGAGGGGCCCCTTCCTCGATACATGGCCGCCTCCGGCGCCGGGAGGCGCCGGGAAAATCAGCTACATGAGCTGATTCTCAAACCCCCCCTTTGCTATCCCCCCCTCTTCGCCCGACCCGAAGCACGCCGGAGTCGGCTGGGGCTGGAGCCGGCGCGGGGTTCCGAGGAGGAAGAGGTGCTCCAGATTTCGTGATGAAGGGGGGGGGGGTCTCATTTCGGAGGGGGGGTCTCCTCCAGGCCAGCTTGGAGGGCCTGGGGGCTCTGGGGGCGATGCTTGGGAGGGTTCTCCCACGGGGGAGGTCTGAAATGGCTTGTCTTGGAGGAGGGTCCAGACCCCCTCCTTTTTATTACGAAATCTGGAGTACCCGTACCCCTATCCCGAAGTCGGGCCTGTCCCCCCCCACAGGGGGGATGTTCGACGAAACATTAGTACAGAAATAGTCCAAAAATAGTCTGGGGACTATTTTTCATGTATTTTTGTGATCTTCTTGGGGGTAGGGGGACAGGCCCGACGAAAGGCTGGAGCCGGCGTGGGGTTCCGAGGAGGAAAAGGTACCCGTACCCCCATCCTTCGCGCCCGTCTTCCTCCCTCGCGGCAGCGCGCCGGAGTCGGCTGGGGCTGTGGCCTGTCGGCGGCGAGCGAGGGGGGTCGACCACACCCAGGAGTGGCCCTGCGCGGAGTGGCCCTTGGTGCGGGCACACTGGGGGTCCCCAGGTGGCGGAGCCGACCGCTGGGGGGGGGCGTGAGCACGCCGATGCTCCCTTGCGGCAGCACGCTGGAAGCGGCTGGAGCCGCGTGGGGTCTGTTGGCGGCGAGCGAGGGGGGGAAGTGAGAAGGATCATCGGGAATCAAGTAACCCCGAACCCTAAGAACACGGTGAAGACGTGGCCTCACTGAGGTCCCCATCTGTGCACTCGGGATGGTACACACCTGGGCGGTTTGGTTCGATTCATCTGCAGAAAGAGCCCCTATCCCTAATGTCTTCGGCCCTCCAAGCTTAGGTCCTCTCCCAAAGGGTTAGGGGCCCTTTTTTTGTGTGCACTCAGAGGGGGGGACGCGAGAAGGAGGAGGCCTTCGCAGAAGGCGGCGGGGCCTCTCAGAAGCCCTTGCGCCGTCTGAGAAGCTCAGTGCGTCTCCGGGGACGGCGCAGCAGGCTGCTCAGAAGGCCGGAAGACGTCCGGGCCTTCTGAGAAGGCCCGTTTTTTTTTTTTTTTTTTTTTTTTTTTTTTTTTTTTTCTCTCTCTCTCTCTCTCTCTCTCTCCCAGTCTCGCCGCCGATCCTCCCTCGCGGCAGGACGCTGGGGTCGGCATGGGGCCTGGGGGGCCCGGCACTGGTTCCAGCGAGGAGCAGGGAGGGGGGTTCCAGGTTCGAGGTTCTAGGTTCGGAGGGTTTTTGTTACCCTGGTCGGTGTCCGCGAAGCGTTTTCAGTGCTTTTCAGGCCTTGGGTCGGGCAGGCCGAAAGGGGGGGATTGGGAAAGGGGGGGTTACGAAATTTGCTGCATGCAGCTGATTTCGGCCTCACCGAGGGGCCCATTCCTCGATACATGGCCGCCTCCGGCGCCGGGAGGCGCCGGGAAAATCAGCTACGTGAGCTGATTCTCAAACCCCCCCTTTGCTATCCCCCCCTCTTCGCCCGACCCGATTGGGACCGTCAAAAACGGATCCGGGGCGAACAATTATACCTGATGGCCCCGGGAGGGGCACATGGACCGATTTTGAGCGGACTTGGCCTCTGGGGCTGCATCCAGTTCAGACCCCCTAGCCACCTCCGACCCTCAGATCTGGGCGTTGCAAATATTTCTGTTGACACGCAACACGTACCGTGCTCAGCACGTTTCACGCACTTGTTGGCCCGCTTTTTGGCGAACGCATTGCGCCAGACCTGCGTATTCAATCTACGTTCTGAGCTCCGTGTCTACCGGCTGCACGGGCTGCGTGCCGCATGTCGGGGCAGCCGAGTCACACCAGGCTTTGGGCGGCCCAGAGCCAGCCCGGATCGATCTGGCTCGAGAGATGGCGCAGAAGAAAGTTGCAGGGGTCCAGGGCCAAGGGCGCCCTCGAGGGCGCGAAGTTTTTCGCGCTTCGCGCTTCGCGGTTTGGCTCCGATTCCTCTTCGTCCTGCTCTTCTTCCCTGGGAGGCGGCGCGAGAGCGCGAAGTGCGCGAAATGATTCGCACTTCGCGCTGCGCGTTTCGCGAAGTTGGGAGCCCTTGCAGGGCTCGGGTCATGATTTTTCGCGGTGCTTCGTGTCTTCTGTCCGCGGCGGCGGGTCTGAGGGTCCTCCCTCGCGGCAGCACGCGAGAGCCCGCGCCATGCGGCCCGGCCGGGCGGGACGCCAAGGCCGAGGGGGCCGCTCGAAGAGTGCGGAGGGAAGGACGGCCGACAGGATGAGGGTCGAGGGGGGGGAGGGGGAAGGGGAGGAGGAGGGGGGAGTAGGAGAGAGGAGGGGAGGAGGAGGAGGAAGGAGGAGTAGGAAGGTGGAGAGGAGAGGAGGAGGAGGAGATGAGGAGGAGGGAGGAGGAGGAGGAGCAGGCTATTTTTGAATGGATGATGATGAGATTTTATGATGATTATGGATGATGATGTGATGATGATGATGATGATATGAATTATTATGATGATGAGGATGCTGGGGGAGGGATTCTGATATGATGATGGATGATGATGATGATGATGATGATGATGGTGATGATGATTAGTGATGCTGATGATGATGTGATGATTATGATGGATGCATGATTTGTTTGGACTGATTAATGAGGAGGAGGAGGAGGAGGAGGAGCAGGAGGAGGAGGAGGATGATGATGATGAGGAGGAGGAGGCGGAGCAGGAGCAGGAGGATGAGGAGGAGGGAGGAGGATGAGGCCACCTCCGCACGAGAACGCCAGCCGCCACAGCGAGCCGTCCTCTCACCTCCCCCTCCTCCATGTGCATGTTCGTGTTGTTGGGTTGTCCCTTCTATCTCTCCTTGAGTACCTCTTGGTTTGATTTTGCCCTGCTGCTGGCGTCGCTGGGAGCAGGGCTGCGAGGGCTCCGGTGCCGTGCTGCACAGAGGAGTCCGCGGCTCGAAGCTAGGAGGAGGAGGAGGAGGACGAGGAGGAGGAGGAGGAGGAGGATAGGACGAGTTAGGAGGAGGAGGATGATTAACGATGAGGCGGATGAGGAGTATAGGGGAGGAGGATGAGGAGGAGGAGGAGGAGGAGGAGGATGAAGAGGAGGAGGAGAGGAGGAGAGGGAGCAGGAGGAGGAGGAGGAGGAGGATATGAGGAGAGAGAGAGTCATGAGAGGGAGGAGGAGGAGGAGGAGGAGGAGGAGGAGGAGGAGGAGGAGCAGCAGCAGCAGCAGCAGCAGCAGCAGGAGGAAGAGCAGAGGGATCATGGGTCAGCAGGAGGAGGACGGCGCCCCGGCCCCGCCCACGAAGAGCCGCGCGGCTCCAGGACGTGGCTGCGCCCCCCACTGCGGAGCAGACCGCGAAGGCGCCCGCCACCGATACGGGCACCCATTGCCCTTAGACTTGGGCGTTACAGTTTTGTCACAGAGGGCGTTCTCGCTCAGTTTCGGGCCCCAGGACCCTCACAGAACGATCCGACTCGAAGAATGGTGGAGATACAATTGGTCCGTGGCTCCGGGTCCTGACTTTTCACGGTTCTGGACATTGGGGGGACTCAGCCTGCCCTGGCGGCGGCCCCGGCGACACGCTATGCCCTGCAGGCGGATGGCGCGTCGCTCCGCTCCGCGGGGCGGGAGGCTGGGAACACTTCGGGACGTTGGCGCTTGGGAGTGGGAGGGTGGATAGCGTGTCGCGCCGCAGCGCGGTGGGCCAGGGCCAGCGGAGCGACACGCTGAGCGAGCGTTCCTGACAGCCTCTGGGCCGCTCCAGGAGGGGCCTCGCCTTCGAGGGGCCAGGGTAGCTGGCATCTCTTCCTCGGCGGAAGGCTGGCGGAAGGCGGCGGAGGGACAGCTTAGGCGCCTCCGTTGGCCTCGCCCTCGAGGGATCGAAGGGGAGCTGTCATCCCTGCCTGGGCGGAAGGCGGCGGCAGGTCAGCGGAAGCTGGCGGAAGTACAGTAGAGACCCATGCCAGCCTCCAGGGCGTTCCCTGGGTTTCGTGGGTTTCGATGGGTCGGCTATGGAAAGCGTGACGTTCACGCACGAAACATCAGTGGAGGTCCTGGGGTCTCAGGGTTGGGTTTCTTGTGGAAGGTTTCTTGTGGACTGGCCTCCACTGTAGAACGCGGGCGTCTCCGCCAGTGGACGGCGGGCGGAAGCAAGGGATGCGCCCCCCAGAGGTGGCAGCAGTTTGGGGTTCAGGGTTTCTGAAGCCCGCCTGTCACCACCCACCAAGCCACTCCGACCCAACCCGCAGGCCTCAATTTGCCGTCCATTTCCCGTGTGGGTGGGGGGGGGGTCGGGGAACATGGAGGAAACACATCTGGAACCCGTACACCCCCCCCAACCCGAAATTCCGGTCTTCGGGTTGGGCTGGGGTGGCCTCGTAGGTAACCAGACAAGTGGGCACAGCCGGGGCGCCGAGAGGAGGAGGAGGAGGAGGAGGAGGAGCACGCCGGACTAGGGCGGAGGCGCCCAGACCCCCGCTCGCGAAAGGAAGGAACAAAGAGGACTGAGGAGGATTAGGGAGGATGTCGCCAAGGAGGACGACTACGTAGGAGCAGGAGGAGGAGGAGGAGGAGGAGGAGGAGGAGGAGGAGGAGGAGGAGGAGGAGCTGGAGGAGGAGGAGGAGGAGGAGGAGGAGGAGACGAATGAGGAGGAGGAGGATGCGAAGGAGGAAGAGGAGGTGGGGGAGGAGGAGGAGGAGGGGTATGGGAGGGGAGCGCAGGGAGCTCCGAGGTTCGTCTCGCAGCCCCTTTCCCCGTCTCCACCGGGACGCGCCCCCGCCCCCTCTCTACACTGCTCCACGGGGAGAGCAGCCGGGGCCGCCACGGTGACGGGCTCGGCCCCTGTGCTCTGGGGGCCGCTCTGGCGGTGGAGAAAGAGCACGGCGGCTCGCGGTCCGAATCGATCCGATCCGATCCCCGAAACCGCGTCCCGATCTCGATCCGGCCCGATCCGACACGAACCGATGGGGAGTAGGAGGGAGGAGGAGGAGATGAGAAGGTCGTCGTCGTCGTCGTCGTCGTCGTCGTCGTCGTCGAACGGTGGTATTGCATTGCTGAGCTTAGCGTACTCGGGACAATTGCTATGGCAACATACCGCACTCTTAGTCAGGATAACCGAGGATATTGGAACGGGAACTCAGCAATGCTCAACGATAATCAACGAAGCAGAGAGAGAGAGAGAGAGAGAGCCGTGCCTCCTGCTCCGCGTTCAAGCGGTCGCGGAGGCAAATTATGGAGAAGGGAGGGAGGAGGAAGAAGGGAGGAGAGAGGCGGGAGGAGTAAGCATGAGGAGGGAGAGAGGATGAGGGGGGAGGAGGAGGGTGATGATGACGATGATGATGAGGATGATGATGCTGCTGATGATGATGATGAGGAGGAGGAGGAGGAAATGGAGGAGGAGGAGGAGGAGGAGGAGGAGGAGCAGGCAGATGAGGAGGAGGCGAAGGGAGCAGGGAGAAGCAGAGAGGAGGGAGGAGGAGGAAAGGGGAATCTATGGAGGACGAGCGGGAGGAGTGAGCAGGGAGGACGAGAGAGGAGGATGAGGAGGAGGAGGAGGAGGAAGAGGAGGAGGAGTAGGAGGAGGAGGAGGAGAAGGTGGAGGAGGAGAAGAAGGAGGAGGAGCAGGAGGAGGAGGATGAGGAAGAGCAGAACACGAACATGAAGAGGAGGGAAGGGCGAGGAGCGCGGAGGAAGGACAAGGAGGAGGAGGAGGAGGTGGGGGAAGGAAAACCAAAGTAACAATACTAGTTCGAAGAAACGTCTTACTACGAATACGAGCTGTTATAATAATAAGAATCATACGAGGAATCATAATACGAATACGAATGCGGTTACTAGTCAGAATACAAATAGGTACGACGTATGAAGAAAACGAAAACTAATAGTACGAATAATATTGATTCTCCTTTCTAAAAGACTAATAGATTCTACCCCCCCCCCGGACTGATCGGGTCCCCCGCGCGTGCTGTAAATCACATATGATTCTGACCACATGTCCATCCTAAATATGAATTCATACCATCCCAGCCAAGCCGGTATCCCCCCCCTGCGGTTCCCTGTCAAATAACACTATGCGGGGACATTTTTCTTTCTAACATAACACTTTTTCACGAATCCCTTGCAAAAAATGGGACGAAGTGCACACGCGCGCGTCGTCGCGCGCGCATGCCGAAATCCTTCAAAAACCTTCGGTGCCGGAAGGATTTCGCAATCGAGTTTCCGAAAAACATACAAAAACACATGGTTTCGCAACACTGATTTGCTAAAAAAACTTCCGCGCGAGCTCTTGCGAAATCTTAAGAAAACCATAGGTTTTTCAAGATTTTCACAAAATGCTACCACACGGGCTTCGCGCGCGCGCATGTCGAAATCTGTCGAACGCCCTTGCGCGTGTGCCGTCGCGAGAATCCTCTGCAAAAAATGAGACGAAGTGCAGACGCGCGCGTCGTCGCGGACGTATGCCGAAAACCTTCAAAACCCATCGGTTTCGGAAGGATTTCAAAATCGTGCGTCCAAAAAACCTACAAGAACCCAAGGTTTCGCAACACGGATTTTCAACAAAAGCGTGCGCGCGCGCGCTCTTGCGTCGTCGTCGTCGTCGTCGTCGCCGTCCTCCCTCCTCCAGCGTCGTCGTCGTCGTCGCCTACGTCGTCCTCTGTCTTTTCTCCTGTTTGTCGTCGTCGTCCTCTTTGGCGTCGTGGTCGTTTCCATCGTCGTTGTCGCCGTGGTCGTCCTTCCTCCTCCTCCCACGTCGTCGTCGTCGTCCGTCGTCGGCGTCTCATCGTCGTCCCTCCTATGTCGTCGCCGTCGTCGTCGTCGTTGTCGTCGTCGTCTTCCCTCCTCCCTCGTCGTTGTCGTCGTCGGCGTCGCCGTCCTTCCTCCTTCGTCGTCGTTCGCGTCGTCACCGTCCTCCCTCCTCCTTCGTCGTTGTCGTCGTTGTCGCCGTCGTCGTCCTTCCTCCTTCCTCGTCGTCGCCTTCGTTGGCGTCGTCGTCGTCGTCGTCGTCGTCGTCGGCGTCGGCGTCGTTGTCGTCGTCGAAGTCGTCGGAGACGTCGTCGGTGTCGTCCTAGTCGTTGTCGTCGGTGTCGTCGTAGTCGGTCTTAACAGGTTTTGCAAACCAAGTTGCGGGTGGGTGGGTGGGATGTTTGCGCGAGCAGTGGAGATGACGACTTCAAGTTCCGCAGAGTGGATACAACTCATAATAATAACCACTACGACTAGTACTGCGACTACTACGAGTAAGAATAATTCGAACAATCATAACAATATGACTACGGATAATAGTAAGAACGCGACTGCTCAGAATAATAGTAATGGGAGGAGGAGGAGAAGGAGCAGGAGGATGAGGATGAGGAGGGAGATGGGAGGATGAGAGAGGAGGAAGGGAGGATCAGGCAGGAGTAGGGCAGAGGAGGGAGTAGGAAGGAGGATGGACGAGGATGCGGACGAGAGCGACGACGCCGACGCGGATGGCGATCCCCGCGCGTGCCTCGGAGGTCGAGGAGCTGCGGCGGCAGGGCCGGCTCCTGCTGCTCCTTCGCGGCCAGCCGTTCGGCGCGCTCTTCCCGCGGCTCGACTTCGCCGCCACCTCAGCGTCTTTCGGCGGGGCGTTTTTGTTTCGTTCCCAGGTTACCAATCATTACCAGGGCCACCCCCCCCCTCCCCAGCGAACGCTGACGATCGTACGTGGCGGGGGGGGCCTGGACCCCGCTACATGCTATTGCGCGCACAGGCGATTGATGCGCCAGTGGCGCGGACGCACCCTGGCGAGTGCACGCCGCGGCCTCTGGTACCGTTACCCTCCCGCCCGAATAACCCCCCCCGGGTAACAACCGCTACCCGGGAAAAGAAAACAACGGTCACTTGCCGTTTCTGGCCACTCTTACGGCCGGGAATGCATGTGTGTGTGTGTGTGTTTGCGTGTCTGCGTGGGGATTTCCCCGCCGTGGGTTGATAGTTCCACAGAGTTCAATGTGTCTGTAACGATGCTGTGGTGCGTGCGCCGCTGGGGATACGTGGGCGCTGTTTTCCGTGGTGGGACTTTGCCTTAGCGTGTCGCACCGCGGCTCGACTTCGCCGCCATCTTAGCGTCTGCCAGCTTCGGTCTCTGGCATGTCCTCACCAGAGCAGGGAGCCGCACCGATGCGCCGCACCCTTCCCTCGTCCTCCCCTCGTGGGGCCTCCTGGGAGGCCCGTGCTTCCACGGCTGGGCTCGCCTCGCACTTCTGTGGGTCAAGACCGGGCGAGGCCCGGGGAGAGAAGCGGCATCGGGTACCTCCTCGCTCCCTCCACGTGCGGTCGGGACCTCTTCCTCCGCGTGCC